CACATTACAATTTATGAATCATTAAGGAATTTGATTTAGAATTATAAGAAATAAATAATTAACATGATTAGCTAAAATATAAATAATTTAATTTTAGTTTCGGGTTTCTGACATTTATTATCTTAATTTATATCCATTATGTCTATTAAAAATTAATCAAGAATCAAATTTAGGATAATTACCAGTTGCTCGAAGCTATCCAACATTGAAAGATTCACATGTTTTTGATTTTGATTCGTTGCAAATGCAATCAATTCACTAACGAAATCTTCACCTTTCTGGCAGTACTGTTTGGAAAGATTATTTGCTTCAAATAAAACTATTAATCTCAACAAATTATAGAGCATGCTTTACCAATATGAAAAAATTTAAGTTTTCAAATTAGGTAAGTTTTTTTGCGAAGTTTGACTTCTAGTGCTTTGTTATCTACAGTATATTACTTATTTGCAAGTACTGTTCTTTTAAAAGCAAAACTGGAAATTAAAAGAAGAAAAAAAATATTTGCAGTACTGTTCTTTTAAAAGCAGATACTACAGCATACATGTATACAGATAAATTTTTGATATGAAATTTTTTCAGTTCAAATTCATTGAAAAATTAACTGTAATTCTGGTATATCATAAATGTAATCGGATAAAATGCTGAAAAATTAATGAACCTTTGGTGATAAACTCCCCATCGGAATCATTTTCAAATGTATACATAAAATCTGCCATTTGTTCGCTTAACCAATCGGCCGTCATACAACCGTATGACTCAGCTATATCATCATTCATAATGCTGTAAAATTACAAATCGTTCAATAGCACAAAGTTGATCTTTAAATGTGGATCGATTCTCGGGGCATCCTCATTTCTAGATCCAATCACTACTAGCTCGAGCGTTTCTATAACCACGAATTCCACAGAAACTAATTCTTCATCCCAAACTTATCCCTTAGACATTACTTAATCCTCTCAACTATCGTCCACTCTTTTTTTCCATTCCCTGTTACTTCTCTTTCATCTTTGCAGTTTTTCATTTTTCAAAATTATCCGAGAATCTATGCTTGCGAAATCGCTCCAAATGCATAACTCTGCAAAAACATCCTATAATTTATTGTTTGCTTGCATAATATCATACGGCAGAAGTTTAGCAAAATTTCAACTGCATTAGAAACAATGAAACGCGAACACCCCATCATAATACATTAGTGCGATTCTATAGATACAAGCAATAGCGGTAAAAAAAAAACAACCAAAACGACTGAATACAAAATTTTGAATAAAAATTTCACATTTATTTACAAAAAATATACAAATGATTTAAAAGCAAATCCTATTTAATATATACCAAATGTTATGAGGTAAGTGAGATACGTTGTTAATATATATATTATATAATTCTCTTTCATTACGTACAAAAACATAATTGTATTGAATTATAAACAAGTTTTTTCCTTTTCCAGTTTAAGAACTGCTTAGAGCAGAAAAGTACTCAAGCAAGGAATGACTGGACAGTCCTTGCTTTATAAATTTAATTTATATAGCATATTTATAGAAATTAAACATGAAAAATGTCCTTTTATAAAGAAATTTCATTCTTTAATAATATCCATAAAAAAGCATATTTACAAAGCTGATTGCCCAAAGAAGGATCAAATGTTTAGAAAAACCAGTGCACCGAGCTAAAGCAAATAACATGAAAAGCTTTTCCATGAGTTCATACCTTAAAATTCATCAGAGTTGTTATCAAGAATAGACACCTGAGCATTAAAGCTCCCATCTGTAAATTAATCCCAGAACGAGTACGGATTAGTACTTACTCGTTATAAACTAGAGCTCACCGAGAAAGTAGACAAGCTTTAACAGTTAACTAGAGTTTTGCCTTGCTAAGTTACAATACATTGAATACAACTTCATCAAATAAAAAAGTAAGAAAATCATGCATATGTCGAGATACGAAAAAAACAAAGCTAGCAGCTTTTAAACCTAAAACAAACAGCAGTTATTTACAACATATACCAAAATGTCAGGAAAAAAATGTCGAGCAAAGCTGATATACAATAAGAAATGTCAAAAATTATTTGCACAAATTGACTATGAAACATCGTTGAATCGCATAACGCTTCCATCAACATTTTACGACAAGAACGTATCTCTCAACATTTTCTTGACCGCAGATGCACCAATCGTCATTAAAGTGCTTTCCGTATTTTGACCTATAATTAATAGTTATTATAGCAATTCAAACTGCGTCCTTAATAAAAATTATCAGGATAACTAGTACTGATCGGTTTCGATGTTTAAAATAAGTTGAAATAAGAGATGACATACTTACAATTACGAATACTCCGTTTAATAATTAAGGAAATGAAAAATGATTACCCGAATCAAGTGGATGTTTGACTACTCTGAAAAGATATGGCTGACATTCAAGAAAACTCGTATCAAAAATACTCGTCACTTCTGAACGTGCAGGCATTTGTGGCATGTACTGAGGTCGACTAATTAATGAGCATGCTTTCAGCACAATCTCCGATACCGAATCCGCCACCTCTTCACGCATTCGTTCCCAATATTCTAAAAAAATCGCTTTAAGTATGAAGGAATACAGCAAACTTTATTGGAACTAAAGCTACCACTTAATGCCATTCACCAAAAGGGGAGTAAAGAAACTGGAATGTCCTAAAATTTGTAATTCATATAAAAAGCTTGGAGAAATGTAAACTGTTTCAAAGACTGGGTCACATGAAATCAATGTTAGGTTCTCATATGTTTCATATGTTTTTATAGTCTTCTAAAAAATATTTCAATATGAAACATAATGTAAAACCAAAATTAATCGAATCACAAAAAAAAATATGCGATCACCCCGTTCTTTGATTCTAACCACCCCAAGCTGCATCTGCCAAATTTCCCATGGGATTTCGTAATCTGACAGCGGCCATGACCGTTTCTTCTTTTGATAGAATTCTAAATCAATTCTGAAAAAGACTGTAATGTGATGAGAAAATCATCAATAAAAATTTAAAAACTGATTTTCTGGTAATGAACTGCAAGACGACAATCTTATATTTTAAACTTTGAGCTACTTGTGCTCTCATTAATCATGAAAGTTTGTATTTAAAGTTCTGAAGGCAAAAACTTTAAAAAATACAAAATAAACTTCGCACATCATCTTTTGGTATAGAGAGTGTGTCAAAAACAAAAGTTACAAGTTTAACTTCCAGAAAAAAAACTAAGGCCAACTTAGCATTCAAAAGTGGAGTTCCATAATGAGTGAGCAATGATACTGGTGGTGGAGAATAGAAACGAGGTGCAGTAACACTTTCAATGGAATGCCGAATGAACTGCACGAAAGAATCAATTTCTTCATGCAAGCACGTAACCAGTTTTGGACTATTTACACGTACCTGAACGTCTCAACTGTTAACAATGACATTGATTAAACATTTTTTTTTGCTTAATAGAGGAAATATAAGAAGATGGGATATCAAACCATAGTCATTGATGATGGGCTTCATCCTCACCTTAGCACTACCATCATGAGCAGATTACGTGTAATAAATACACAGAGCTTTTGAGATATTTAAGCAGTCAAGAAAATCTTGTGTGTTCATGTCTATCTAAAAAATGAGAAAAAAAACTTGCATAGCTTAAATTCAAAGTGCTACATTCCACTTCCTCAACACCAATAGACCCGAGTTGAAAGTTTATTTCGCTAGTGTAATGCATCTGCAAAAAAAAAGTAAACTGCTGAACAGAATGAGTCTTTCAACTTCCATCTTCTTTGAAAATCAGAAAAATTCTTCACCAGTTTTACTTAGAACATGCGTCACTACCTTTATGGATACTACAAATACATTCATTTTCGATTAAACAGCACCTAAAACCAGGTCAAAAGAGCTTCACAGAAAACAAAAAAATTACTTTAGGCACACTTCTGTGCAAAAGAATGGTGTGGAAGACTGTTGAGATTGCATCTCGTACTTGATGTTCATC